TATCGATTTATATATATATAGGAGGGCGAATTTACTGTGTCAAATTACCGCCAATAGCTGTCTGGCAAATTTCAATATTATCGAAGTATTTCTTCATTTAAATTACCATCTTACAATTTCAACTAATTCTAAATTATCTTCATTTTCATTGTACTTTTTCTCTTGCCTTCAACTATTGGCAAACGGCAAGAAAACACAGAAAATATTAAAAACTAAAGAGAAGAAAAATTTAAAAATTCTTCGTCTCTGCCCCAAATTATTATTTATGTATATATTACACTTCAAAATCGCGATTCGATTTCTTTCTCTTCTTTTTTTTTTTTTTTTTTNTTTTTTTTTTCTTTTTTGATATAATATCGTGAAAAATAAATACGTTGATGATCGCTCGATCTTTTTCTCCAAACAAAATCCCGAATCGAAACGAAAAAACGTCATCTTCGATTCATCGATTCTCCTTTTTCGCTTTGCTACAATTTTGAAAGGTGACAACGATTTAAGATCGACATCGTGCCAGGCGTTTCTTATTTGCGACTCTTTGAATTTCTTTTTTTTTTTCACTTTTTTTTTTTTACGAAACACGACTCGATGCAAAATTATTAAAAAAGAAGAAACACGCATTAATTTCTTTTTCAGAATTTCACACCGTTGTCGCTCCCTCAATCGTTTCCGTGTGTTTATTAATTTTTTTTTTTTTATTCTTTTCTGTTTTTTATTTTTTTTTTTTTTTCGACGATATTGAAACGCCTGAAACGATGTGCAGTCCGATATTAATGGGCGTACTCGTCGTACCGATAATATAAAACGTGAACGTGATTGCCTGGTTTGAATTACAAAGAATGTACGTGATACGCGTTAGTCGCGGATTACAATTTACCGTATTATTTATTTTGTGACCAGTCCGACGATTCGTTCTCATCCATTCAGCAATCATTTAGACAGTGATCGACGATTTTTTTTTTTCTTTTTTTTTCAAATTCGAGACGAATCGTGTCCACACATATCGTTTTTCATCTTGTTTTCTTCTTCTTTTTTATCTTTATTCTTTTTGTTCTCCCTATTTTATTATCACTGTCCGGAGAGAACATTCGACGATAAAGTAATTTTTACCTTACGATCAGGTTTTAATATCATTGTTCTTATTATTTTTTTTTTTTCTTTATTTCTTCTTCTTCTTTTTCTTTTATTCAATTATTTATATCTGCGGTCACGTCTCGCACGGTGTATTCGATAAAATCGAAATTTCAGTTTAAAATTCGGGAATTCATTCAGCGCGTTACACCTCGTTATTCACGATAAGAATACTTATATACAATTAATTCATCATAATTGGTTTTTTTTTTTTTTTATGTCAGTCGTTATTGAGCAGGACGTTATACTGATCCGACATTGTGCTATGATTAAACGGACAAATCAACGGAGAATGAGCAAAACGGAAGGACAGCGTGAAACGACGATAAAATTAGCACAACACTCTTGCCTTCTTTTTCTTCACCCTTTGTTCTTTCTTCTTCTTTCTCTTCTTTTTTCCGCGTGACATCTGTACGCTGTGTTTTTTTAACGCTTTTTAAGTCGTTCCTTTCGCTTTTTTCTTTTTTTCTTTTTTTTTCTTTTTATTCTTTTCTTTTAAATATCGGTGTTATTTTTATCCTCGTCTATATATCGTTCCTCTGATCTAATTTTTTTTTTTTTTTAACGATCGAAGCATCGAACTATACTCGGCGACGAATCGATAATGGCGAAGATACAGGTCGAAGAAACGAACAATAAAAAAGGAAAACGCCAGAAAGGATTCGCTTGATAACTTTCATCCTCTATAATTCTTTTGTCGAAAGGAAATCTATTGCGTCTTAGAGATACGAATTCGTCGCATGCAACAAATGAAACGAAATACGACGGTACACTTAATTCTACTATAAATACTATACAGAATGTAAAGAAAGGTCTAAAATTTTTTGAGTTTACGGTACATTGGTGGAATTTAGCTCGCAAAAGCCAATTTTTTTCAATGAATTCAATCGAATTTTTTGTATTTTATTTATTTTATATATGATATCGAAGATCCAATTTTTTTTTAAGATTTAAAAAGTTAACATTTGGATAAAATTAAATACGTAAGTTTTTAATTTTAATTAATCTTCAAAACAATTTATCAAAGGAAAAAAATCATTTTTAACTTACTTGGAAATGTAATCTCTTTTGGAAATCTCATTACCTCGTTAATCATTCGCGAAAGAATTTTTGATAAAATTGATTAATATTTCTTTATTTAGACTCTTTCTTTGAAACATCCTGTATCGTATTGAAATTCCCGCTCGATGGAAGAAATATTCTCGTTAACGCGTGTGACGGGTAAACGATACGATTGAAATAAAGCACGCAAAAAACTAAAATCATTTCAATCTCATCTCCCCTTTCTTTCCCCCTCCCCCCCTTCCTTTTCTTTCGTTATTACTTGCAACGCTCTTTTTTTTTCTTTTTTTTTTCCCTCTATTTTCTTTTTTTTTTCCTTTTTAAATCCTTTCCTCTCGAAGGATACCTCCGACGCACATTTCGCAACACGCTTGCTCGAAAACAAAATTTCTACGCCTCCATGTCCCGTGATGGATCGCGATCCACCCCCGGTTCAGTCCATTTTCATATATATATATATATATATATATCTATATCTATATATATATATATTTTTTTTTTCATTTTTTTTTTGTCAATTTTTTTTCTTTTTACGATTTTTTCTTTCCACCTATATATTTCACATTGAACAATATCCTCAGTCTCGACTGGTCAATGAGCAATACTTTAGAGATCCCGTGATCTCGAAAAAGTCCAAAGGAGAGCAACGTCTGTGTGTATGTGAACGTGTACGTGTGTGTATGCGTGTGTGTATATGCGTGTACGTGTACATGTAGGTATATGTGTGAAATAGAGAGAGAGAGTTAGTTTTTTTTTTTTTATCATGTGTGATACTACCGCCTCGATCGCCTCGATAATTAATATCTAAAATGTAATAATCTCTCATGATAATGCGACTTTTTTTTTTTATTTATTCTCTTAATATCAGCTAATTGTCTCCTCGAGAATATTACTTTTCTCTTTTTTATTATATATATATATATTTTTTTTTTTTCATTTTTTTCTTTTTTCATCATTCTTTCAATCATTCTTCTTCTTCATCCCTTTCTCCTCCTTTTTTCTTTTGATTCACCTCGACTCAATGTTAATCATCGGATTTAAATAATAATGATTAACACTGATTCGTTTAATTCCGTTTAGACTGAGGTATTTTTTTTTCTTTTTTTTTTTTCTTTTTTATACACAGGAATCATTGTTGCATTAACGATTTACTTGTCAATTAATAATTACGTTATATTATTTATAAATTTATTCATTCGCATGTAGTTCGTTCAACAGGCCGTGGCTATACAGGGCCCACACTACATTTGGTTTTGCATCCTGTGGCACGCGGTCTTCCGAATATGTTACAGAGGTGTGTGTATGTGTGTAGTAGTAATAATAATAATAATAATAACAATAATAATAATAATAATAATAATAATAATAATAATAATAATAATAATAATAATAATAATATATATATATATACGGTCGCATAAGAGAGAGAGCTTAAATCTTTATACCATTTTCGTTTTTTTTTTTTTCTTTTTTTTTTCCCCGTTGGTTTTTATTGTCTCCTCGAGAATATTACTTTTCTCTTTTTATTATATATATATATTATTTTTTTTTTTCTATTTTTTTCTTTTTTCTATCATTCTTTCAATCATTCTTCTTCTTCATCCCTTTCTCCTCCTTTTTTCTTTTGATTCACCTCGACTCAATGTTAATCATCGGATTTAAATAATAATGATTAACACTGATTCGTTTAATTCCGTTTAGACTGAGGTATTTTTTTTCTTTTTTTTTTCTTTTTTATACACAGGAATCATTGTTGCATTAACGATTTACTTGTCAATTAATAATTACGTTATATTATTTATAAATTTATTCATTCGCATGTAGTTCGTTCAACAGGCCGTGGCTATACAGGGCCCACACTACATTTGGTTTTGCATCCTGTGGCACGCGGTCTTCCGAATATGTTACAGAGGTGTGTGTATGTGTGTAGTAGTAATAATAATAATAATAATAACAATAATAATAATAATAATAATAATAATAATAATAATAATAATAATAATAATAATAATAATATATATATATATACGGTCGCATAAGAGAGAGAGCTTAAATCTTTATACCATTTTCGTTTTTTTTTTTTTCTTTTTTTTTTCCCCGTTGGTTTTTATTATGTATATATATATTATATATATATATTCATTTATATTTATATAATATATTTCGTCGACTACTTCCTACCGTACCGAGCGTTGTTATTTCGTTGCGCTTTCCTTGGTCTTTTATGTGGTCATCGAACTTCAGGCACGGATTATTGAAAAATTCTTCTGTCCAAGTACACTTTGTTGTTCTCGATTTTATATCCCATTCTTCCTTCCCTCTCCTCTCCTCTCCTCTCCTCTCCTCTCCTCTCCTCACCCCGTCCCCCCCCTCCTGTTTCAAACACAAGCGTACGAGCCGCTCCCAACGAACGTGTTTCCCTGCGAAATATCGACACAATAAATGCAACCGGATATTATCGACGAGGGAACGTCTGTTATTACGCTCTTTCACGCCACGCTCTTTCGTCGTCCCTTCACGAATATCGACGAATAAATTCGCGACAAAGATGATACATACACGCCATGAAAAAAAAAAAAAAAAATACGTCGCGACGCGAACACGATCCTGTGGAGACGGCTCAACAGACGGACAGACAGAGTTCGTAACATTAAATTCACTCGACGTGGACTGACATCGCCTCGCGTGTTGTATACAACAACCTTACCGACATCCCCCTCTCCCTGTTTCTTCTTGATCCGATGGGGTAGGGCGGGATCCGTGGACGATCTCGAAAACGCAAAAAGTCTTACTTTTGCATACGAAGACCCTCGTCACCCGCGAACAGATAGGTGGACCAGTATCCCAAATTGAACAAGATAAACATGAGAGGGAAAGCGATACGCGAGACGAAGTCGATCCCGGCGGTACCTTTCGCTCGACACGTGAACCAACGCCGCGGTAAAAGACCCCAACAACACCTCTCGGTACGAGGAAGCGGAAACGGTTGAAAACGGCGTATGTCTTGAGGTGGGGTCGTGCGAACAGTCGCCGCGGGCGGGGAGGGCGTAGCCCTGCGAGACGTGGTTGGCGAGGGGGAGGGCGAGGGCGAGGGTGAGGGTGAGGATCTCGCAGGGCTTTTGCACGAGTGCCGCGAACCCCTTGGCGAGCATCGACCGCTGCCACCTTCCGCGTTGTGCAACGACGAGAACGAGGGTGATCTCGGTTGCTGCGCCTGATGTATGTGATAACGCGGATGGTGTTTGTGCCTCTGGTGCTGGTGGTGGTGGTGGTGGTGGTGGTGGTGGTGGTGGGATGATGGTAACGATTGGTGTTGAACGCCCGATGGGGCGGGAGGCGGTGGCGGCGGCTGTTGCTGCGACTGTTGCAGGCTACCGTGTTGATAGTGTTGATGATGGAGGCGACAACTGTGATACGTGGGCTGGTGATGATGTTGGTGGCGTGGGCGCGAACGATGATGAGGTTTGGCGGTTGTTGTGCTTGTTGTGGTTGTGGTGTGAGAATGACGGGAATGGCCGCGAGCCACGTTCCTTGATCCCAGCGCTTCCTCGTCGACGTTCACTCGTTCTGCTCTTCCTCCCGAAACAGGTACGTGGACCAGTACGCGAGATTGAAGAAAGCGAATACGATGGGGAAGAAGATCCGTGAGATGACGTCGATGCGCTTGGACCTCGTCGGGAACTTGGACAGCCACGACCTGCAGCAGTTTTTTTTTCGTGGTTGCATATGTAATTCGCAGTGCTGCATCCTATCCACCGACATGGTATCCTCCGGTTGTCGGACCAGAGGTTTCTGAAAAAATTACCACGATGTCCGGCCATTACTCGTCTTTTCTCCTTCTTCTTTTTCGTAAACTATCGGCGATTTTCTTTTTTACTCTTTCCTTTTTTCTCCCTCCCTCTCTCCCTCCCCCAAGATATAGGAAGAACGAATGAATTATTACCTTTTCTTTTTTTTTTACAGTGACGAGTTAACTTTGGTAAGCGAACGATACTATTTTTACTTTAAGCGATTTTGAGGCTACTTTTATTTACGTGTGTTATGTTTTCGTTCAAATTGGAAGATACGTAAAAAAGGAATATCAAGTTCTACTTTGATTTGAAACGTTTGTAAAATTACTCTGGTTTCTGACAATTTTATGGTGAGTGATGACGAGTCAACAGGTCACTGTATATACGAGAATAGGAAAATAAGATACATTCGCAAGATGTATTTTGTAAAATATTATTCTCTATAATAAGACGTTTTAAAAGGAAAGATCGATATTTTGAGGAAATTTATTCCCAAGTTTGATTATAAAGGGAAATGGATGTAACATTTAACACGTAAAGCTAATTGTGGTGCAAGTTTGTAATAAAAGTGTTGGCACATTTTTCTGTATATTTCTCTCTTCTATGTACATGCATTATATTCTCACTTTTTTTTTTTTTATGGAATATTTCACGACAAAAAATATTGGAGACATTAGGAGAACAATTTAAATTGAAAATATTTTTTTCTATGGATCTGTTTCTTATCGAATGATCTAAAATTGCATAAACATGCATATCACATAATGTTCCAACGATATCAAAATGGTTTAAAAACACATCCAACTTTGATTAACGATAATTGAAAAATTTAACTCGTATATGAATATGTGAACAAATTGTGTAAAAATTTAATAAAAGTTTGTCGTATATTCGTCGTATATTCTTCATTGACTTGAATGAACTATCATTGGATAAATATTATATTTATTTTCTTATTATGACCGTAGAAAAAGTATCATTCTAGTATGAATATGAAAGAGCTATCATAAAATGTAATGATATCTTTTTTCTACCTATACAATGTAGCAAGCATCGTGTAAAAATATAATGTTCATTACCATTAAACTATTATAGCATGTATATCTCTAGAATGATCAAATTATTCAAATGCTGAAAGTCACATTACTGTATGAATGTCAAAAAATCAAGTTAGAGATATAAAATGCTAGACTTTTTAAATGAATTATTTACCTGTAGAGAATGTTGAAGTGGTCCATCATATCCGGTCTAGCGGTTTATAATAATAAAAATAAAATAATAGAATGAATGTACGTTGTGACAGCTAGATTCAGAATTTTTCAATGTTATACACTTCAGGCAAGTATATCGTTAAGAAAAAAAAAAAAAGAAAAAGAAAAAGAAAAATAATAAAGGATATAACATCTTATGATTAATGCTCTATGCGTATGAAATATTTCATATGCAAATAACTAAAGTATAGAATGATTACTATAAAAAAAATTAAAAGAAGCTTAAGAGAAGAAATTAAGCTCATATTTCTAATTGTCGTTTTACCGTTGTATACAATATTCGAAATGCAGCATTTTATCATTGACCAAAGATGAATGTTGCCAGAAGGAATGTTGCTATCTTTTTTCTTATTTTACGATTTTATTATGCTATAGAAAATCGTACATTTAAAAAAGATAGAATAAAGATAAAGAAATTCATAGGAAATGAAAGAAAATCTAAAAGGATTCTAATACACAATAATAAATAGTAAAAAACAAAAGAAACAAAATTTATTATTATAAATAAAATATTTGAGAAAAAAATATAATATAATGAAAATATATAATTAAAAAAAAAAAGTAAAAAAAATAACGTATTTCTAACATAAAAAAGTAAATAGAAAAAATATTTAATGAATTAGATTATCAATTATTCTTAACACGAAATAAGTATCAGAATTATATTATCAATATGTGAATCAATATGTGCTAATATTCAGGATTTTATATATATATCAAACATTAATAATATAAGATTCACTAAGGAATAAAAAAAGGAAGACAATTCCATTCTATACACTTAAGACAATGGGAACAATAAACACCATTATTTCTTTCTTTCTTTCTTTCTTTCTTTCTTTCTTTCTTTCTTTTTCTTTTTTTTAGAAAAGAAGGGAAGGAAAAGAAAAAGAAAGTATAAAGAAGCACTTAGGGCTCGAATAGCTTATAATATTCTTGTATTATACTGACCATAGCGAAATTTGACGAATTATCTGGTTCGACTTGATCAGAGGGTAGATCCATCGATGTGGATTGTTCCGTTTCAGACGGTGGATATTTTTTCTCTATGTTATCGCTGTGCATGTCGCTCCGCGACGCATAATTTACTAGAGCAAATTCGAGGAGAGCGCCGAATACAAAGGTCAAGCATACGCCTGTCCAAATATCGATAGCCTTTGTATAAGAGACTGGTGGCAGTGAGGCATTTATTCCTGACGTTTGTGTAGCCATCGTCAACAAGGTGGTCACACCTAAAAATAAGAGTAATTAATCAAAATAAATTAAATAACTTCTATTATGAAGTTAGTTCAATTTATCTTGAAATCATCAATGTATGCAGAATAAAGTAAGAAGAATAAATAGATTTATAATATAAATTTTCATTTTAGCTTCGTTTTGGAAAAATTTGATTCTCCTTTTGAATTGAAACATTTATGTCCACTTGAAGGTTACCTAGTGAAACTCGAGCTGGTACAGCACTTTGATCGAGCCAGAACGATACCCAGGATACAATGACGAGCATGCAGCAGGGAATGTAGATTTGAATAAGATAGTAACTGAATTCTCTCTTGAAGAGCAAGTCAACTTTCAAGCAGCTGTACTCTCCTGCAAATTGATTGAATCTTTCATTAGTTTCATATAATAATTTAATAGGCAGTAAAGTAAAATAAAAATGGACAATTTACGGACCAGTGTTCGTCTTGCTGTTACAATAATCGGTAAAAAATTTCTCCAACGTGAACCGAGGCAGGTGTAGGTTTTTAACAACTTGGACAGGATCTCCTTCCTTCCATAAGAAAACCAAATCATCGGTTGTCCAACCATCTAAAAAAATTACATCCCCATATTAGTGATGGCGAACATTTTTTTTTTTTTCAAAAAATAGAATTTAATAAAAAGAATAAAACCAATTTTCTCTTTCTATCATATCATACATTACAAATTTGATATTTAGATATATATTTTTTATTAAACACGTGACAAATATAATACTTACAACTTGCCATACGCAATGAGCAAACTTGTCGATCCAAGGGGTACAATTTTAAATTCATCGGGCATGATAATGTTAAGGATATTCTGAAATACAATTTTAAATTATTCAAAGGGAATATTTATTATTATCTTGTGAAATATATATCGACTATTATTATTATTATTATTATTATTACCGTATACTGTATAGAACGGAACCATTGGGAAAAATACGAATGTACACGTTCGGCATAATAATGTTGTGAAAATGTCCTTCTTTCTCATTCGAAAAGAACAGATCTGGCATCCAAACACGACTCGCATCCGTTAATGTTAAATACTTTAGACGACCTGTAAATACAATTTTACATCACATGTTAGAGAAGAAAAACGATAAAACGGAAGAAACAAATTCAAGTTCTATATACCTCCAAAATCATTAAATCGTAATCGTTCATCCAGCCATTGTTCCCGGAATGTTAACTGTACAGAATATTCCTGCAGAGAAGAAAAAATAAGAATGATTTAATCGAGTGAAGCTTGATCTCACCGAAGTGAAATAGCAAATAAATTATGCTCGAAATGATCGTTCGAAATTTCTATATAATGGAATTAAAGTGAATTAAATAAAAGAAATAAGGCAATTGCAAAAGAAATTTCAGAACAGACACAATTGAAAAGAAGAAATATTTCGTTTATTGGGGGATCGTTTATTCGAAATAATAAACTTAAATAAATTTTAATATTTAACTATTTCTTTTCATCCACATATTTCAATTGTTATTCTTTTAAATGTCCAGTGTGAAATTTCTATGCCTCTTTCTAATCGTGAAATCAATCTACAGAAATCAACAAGGAAGAGAAATTAATTAAAATAAGATATAGCTGTAAAAATTAAAATTTATTATGCGTAATTAACTTCGTATATTATATGTAATAAATTTGTGGAATTTAAAAAATGTAAACACAGAGTAACATAACTTTAATAATATATAATTTTAATAATTTGGAAAAAATCAATTTGATTTTATTCATTGTTGTACTAATTGGTTACATAAAAATTATTTTATCGACCTGGTTAACGTTTACGAAAAATAAACAGGGAAAAATATTTAATATCACATTTACTACTAATTTCAAAATTGATCATTTATTCCAAATAATCATTGAACTTTTCTTCTTCAACCGAGCACACTTACATGTATAAACTATATTTCGAAAAGAAGAATAGAATTTATTTGAAAAAAAAAAAAAAGAAAAAGAAAAAGAGAAGACTCACTTAATCTGATAAATTCTTGCAAACACCGAGATAAATTTCTCTTCGAGTATTACACGTCTAACACATTGCCACGATAAAGATGAATAGAAACGTCGAGAAATTTCAAAGACGAAACGCAAGAAGACGAACGAGAGAACAGTAAGCCGCATCAATAAACGTGAACGAGGTCAGTAATTGCGTAACATCAGCATCTTAAAGTCACCGACTGACTTTCTGAAACGTCTTTCTCCTCGAAAAATAATGATCGAGCAAAGCGTTTCCACAAATGTATTACAAATGTATCAGGATATTAAAATGATTC